TGTGTAAGTATTTTATAAAACTATATACAAATAGGTAATAAATAAAACTAGATTAAATATAATAAATCATTATAAATATTTGTAATATATATATATATATATATATATAATATGATAATACTATGAAACAAAAGTTATACATTTAACATTATACATTATATATTTAATATGATCAATTTAGTTTGATGGTTTTTATATTTAATATATACATTATAGATTTAATTTTTTTTTTTTTTTTGATGATATATGGTCTTTATGTTTAATATGTATATTATATATTTAATTTCTTTTTTGGTTGGTATATATAATTGGGAGAAAAGAATAATAAAAGCATAAAATTAAGGATTTAAAAAAAAAAAAAAAAAACCCAAATGGGGAATCCCCGAATTCCCCGTTCGGGGAACGGGCTTTTTTCGAGGATTCCCCGAACGGGCTTCGGGCCGAGACTGGGGAATCCCCTCGGGCTTTCGGGCTGGGGCCAAAGACAGTGGTCCCCGGCCCGTGCCCATCCCTACTTCCAACAAGCCAACATCAACCCATAACACATCAATGCCCCAACCACCTCCTACTCACTCTATGACCACCCAGGCTAGAAATAACATTCATAAACCAATCTAAAAGCTAACCCATCCAATGTCCTAGAACCAACCACTGTGACCCATGCACTCAAAGATCCAAAATGGTGTTAGGCCATGCTTGAAGAATACGATGCTCTTGTTTCCAATTGAACCTGGGAGCTAGTACCTTTTGACTCTCATCACAATGTTGTTGGTTGTAAGTGGATTTTTTGAACTAAGCATAATTCTAATGGTTCCATTGATAGGTTTAAAGCTCGCTTAGTTGCAAAGGCTTTTATCAATGTCGGGGAGTTGACTATCATGACACCTTTGGTCTTGTGGTCAAACCCACCACTGTTTGTGTTGTTCTTACTCTTGTTGTGAATCGTGGGTGGTCTCTCTAGCAACTAGATGTCAACAATGCCTTCCTCCAAGGGCATCTCTCAAAAGTTGTATGTATGACTTAACCACCAGGTTTTGTTGATCCAGATCATCCCTCTTGATTTTTTCAACTCAACTAAGCTCCTCACACTTGGTATCATAAACTTCGCACATTTTTTATTGAATCTGGTTTCAAGAATTCTTATGTTGATACATATCTTTTTGTACTTAACATTAACGGCCACATCATGTATCTCATCGTTTATGTTGATGACTTAATTATCACTGAAGACAATGATGAGTTAGTCAATCGATTTGTGGCTCTTCTTGCTCACTAGTTTTCTCTCAAGGATCTCGGGTTGCTTTCATATTTCTTGGGTGTGGAAGTTGTTCCAAATAAGCATGGCTTGCTTCTTTCTCAACAACATTACATCTTGGATATTCTAGCTCGAACACATATGATAGATGCAAAATTAGTCCTCACTCATATGCTGACCAGTCCTGCTCTCATGTTAAACTCTAGTTCTTCCTTGTCTGATCCTACTAAGTATTGGGTTGTAGTTGGTAGTCTCCAATATCTTTTACTTACATAGTCTGACATTGCCTTTGTGGTTAATAAGCTCTCTCAATACATGCATCGATTGACAATTGAACATTGGGTCTTTTCAAACGTCTCTTACATTATCTTTGTGGTATGATGAATGATGGCTTGCAACTTTACTGTGATTCTCCTTTGTCATTACATGCCTTTTCTGATTCTAACTAGGCCGGTAACAAGGACAACTTCTCCTCTACAAGTGCTTATTTGGTGTATCTTGGACGAACTCCAGTTTCATGGAGTTCTAAGAAGCAACGCACTGTTGCTTGCTCATCCACTGAAGTCGAGTATCGTTCAGTTGCTTCCACTACTGTTGAGCTTAATTGGGTATGTTATCTTTTGAATGATCTTGGTGCTAAGCTTGCTCATTGTCCGGTGGTTTATTGTGATAATATTGGGAAAACTCAACTTTTTTCAAATCCCGTCTTTCATTCGCGTATGAAGCATGTCGCAATTGATTTCCATTTCATTTGGCATCAGGTCCAAAATGGATCACTTCGTGTGGCACATGTCTCTTCTGAAGATCAACTTGCAGATGCCCTTACCAAACCTCTTCTAGGGGCTCGATTTTTATCTCTCAAGTTCAATATTGGAATCTTTTCCCCAGTTGTAGGAACCATGTCATGGCAACCATGGAATAATAACAAAAATTTTCTTGCTATGCACGATTCCCTTACCCAAGATTACAATGTTGACTAAATTAATTAACTTAAAATTAACCATAAAAGGTAATGTCATTTTACCTCCGTTCATAGCTCCTCCTCTAGATCCTTCAAACAAGTTGCTATCAATCCAATGTAGGAGTAAGTCCATCGATATCTACATGAAGGTAGGCTTGGGATCACCCTAGGATTGATGGCTAGATCAATCGGAGGGCTTAAGGGAGGTGGTAGATTAGAGAGAGAAAATTTCTCTCTCTAGGGTTGGCGGCTAGGGTTTTGGCAGAGTTTATTTTTTGCTCTTTAATTCAAAATTACCTTTATGTATATTGCTTTCTTAAAGTAAACCCAATGCCCCTTTATATAGACAATCCCAAATAAGAGTTCAATAAGGATTGTGAATCCTTAATTCCTATTTGGATTGGATTACAATCCTTATTTGAATTAGATTGTAATCTTTGATATAAGGGAATATAATATCTCTTTAAGATACTCTCCTAAATAGTCTCCTAATTAAATAAATATTCTTATTTATTTAATATATATATATATTTATCATATTTAATATATGAGTTTTAGTATATATTTAATTAAATTAAATATATATTCTCCATATTAATTAAAATTAATATAATTCCAATTTTGCTAAAAATTCTCCCAATAAAATTGGATAATGGCGTCAACCCTTCAGCAAAAATACCAAAGTGCCCTTTTCACCCATAATGACAAAAATGCCCTTAGACTCCCAAATTACCGAGATACCTTTTTTGGCCCAAGGACAATATTCTCCTTCTATTTATGTTTCTCACTTAACTACCTTATATGTGTGTGACCCGAAGGCTCTTTACTTTACCGGCAATGTCTCTCTAACTAATTAAGCATCAAGCGAATTAGTGTTTCCTTACACCAATCAAGATTGGCCTCTAGCAAGGCATCATGATTCCCTGGTAAGTAAAGAATGAGCGATTTAGGCTTACTTTGTCTTTAGTATGATTACCGTGCAATTCAATCAATTTCATCATCTTTTATCTCATCAAGGTTTGAGGCACAAGAATAGTGTTTATCACAAAAGCTACCTTAACATGTTCTATATTTGGTTCTTGAATCTGAAGACTATTGGATTTGAGCACCAACTCGAATTTATCATGGCCACGGATTTGAGGTCGTAGTTTTTTAACCAAATATCTCGCCGAGATAAGATCTCCTCTAACTAGGAGTGATGAATCATTTATTGATCCACCATAGTTATAGTGTACTTCTCGATGTAACAAATCACCATTGTTCTGGTAATCCCTAAAATAGATGATGTTAGGCTAGTGCCAAATCACATCGATATTTACACACGGCGCTATAGTGATATCTAGTCAAAAGACCACATGCACCACCATTTGTAAGAGGTATATTCCACAGACACTGGGTTTACCATCTCGTGTGGAATCCTTCGATGGGTCAGTCCAGTATACCTGCACAAGTAAACATCCATGCGTTGCACCAAGTTGATACCCACAACCTTGACATGTGAGATCTATCACTACCTTTTGATAGGGTTGTTCAACGCGATGATAGTCTCTCCGTATAATCTTTGTCCTTGGTCAGATTTATACTATGACTACTGACCGTTTAAGAAGGGCCACCTTGTGATCATAAGGTTCTCATAATTAAGATTTATAACACTTAATTCCCTCGTTACTGGTTCCAACCTTTCTAAGGACATATACTATTTTCTTTATGCGCAGTAAATATAAGCTACAATATATGCTCATAAATAAGCGATGCCTTTTATTCATTAATTTGAAATTAGTTTACAAGAGCTAAATCGTTGGCTCTAATGCACCTATTCTAACACGAGCTTCAACTTGAGGGGGCATAATAGAGATAATTAGAAATCTCTTTGTGATTAACACTAACTTAATCTTAGTTTGTTCAGCTATCATTCAAAGTATAAATATTCATATATATTTGAATTAGTCCTAGGATATTATTTGAGTTAGCCTTAGGATATCTGCCCTCAAAGTTTTATATATACGGAGCTTATCAATGAAGAAAAGTGTGTCATTTCATTCCAACCTTCTTCTCTATTACAAACCACCTTGCAGCCACTTGTCACATTTGTGATTTACTTTTGAACATTAGGCTTGTAAGTAGTGTTCAACGGGCCTCGATGATTAGTTGAGGTACGTGCAAACTGGCTCGGAAATTCAGATCATCCAAAAAAAAAAAAAAATGTGACACTTGTAAAAATTAGTTATGGAAAACTGAATAAAGATAATTTGTAGTAGGTGAGATCCATAATTTGTAAATGAAACACATACCGGATATGAAAATAGATTGATTATTAAAATTAAATGAGTCTATAATGAATAATTAAACCCATAACTCATAGATCAAATTGGAATCCTTTCATGTTACCATAATATTATAAAAAGAAAAAGACCTCTCATCACATCTTTATTTTAATTTCAAGATTCTCAATTTTCATGTTGGAATTGGGGACCATTTTTTCAACTTTATATTTCTTAATCCAATTTTAATTTTGTCACAATGAGGGGACCATGTAACCTTGGTACAAATGTACAATTATTAAAAGCACACCTCAAAAAATGGATAATCCTGTAATTTCCCAAACCATAAATTATTAAAAAAAATTAATAACTTGCCACGTCATCAGTCCATGTGAACTGATCATGACAATCCCTACACCTTTGGATCATCATCCACTGAACGTTTACCAGCCGTCCATGTCATTCAAAGAAATAAAGTTCGCAACATGTTTGTTATAAGTCCATCTCTCAAATATTTGCCTTTTCTTCTCACAACAAAATCTACAGTTCTTCTTTTCTAGTTTTTGTTTTCGTTTTCAAATTGTTGCCGTTGTTGCTGTTTTTGTTGAAGCTGGTGGGGACTCACTGAGTCACTGAGTCACTGGGTCACTGGGTCACTGAGTGAGTGAGAGTTTTTATTTTCATTTTTATTTTATTTTCATTTTTTCTTTGTCAAAGTGTGAAGAATTAATGGCAGCTGAAGAGGTCAACAAGCCTCCAACACTACCTCCTTATCCTCAGGTACATAAAATTCCTTCCCAATTTAAGGGAAAAAAGTTAACCCGTGCAAATTTTTTTAGCTTTAAATTGATCTATATTGTGTTCATCTTTGATTACTTTTTTTTTTTTGGTAGAAATTGTGTTGAGAAAACCAAATGGGTTGCTGGGAAATTTAGGAAAATTTTCATATGCTGATTTGTTTGCTCATTCTTTCACGGTTCTTGTTAATAAACAGAAAAGCCATTTTTGTCTTACAAAAATTGAGCTTTATTTCATCCAAATCTCTGGCCTTTTCCAGTTATGTTCAAACGTTGGTTATGTAGAAAAATATAAAGGGTATATCCAATTATGTTCTATGTTGGATATGTAGAAAAATATAAAGGATTTGTATATCAAAGGAATTTTTTTTTCTCATTAAAATTTGAGCTTTAATGCTTAATTTTCACCATTTCTTTTTAACTTAAATTAACAAAATTTTAGTTACTTGATAAAATGAGCGGAAAAAAAAAAATAAATAAATAAAAAAAAAAAAAAAAAGAACCCTTCGAATTTATATAAATTTTCAGTGTTCTCTTGACGCTTTTACTTTATAAATGTTTGAGTGCTGCTTAAAAAGATTTATGTCAGCCGTTAGAAGCATTGCTAAATGTTGCTTCATTTGCATATGATTTTCATCAATTATGGATACAGTATTTCTTTAGCATATAAGAGTTAATCTGTCTTCATTTGACCTGAATTTGCATTTGTTTTCTTTGTTTTAGTTGTGTGTATTTATAGTATAGTTTTGTAGATTATAATGTTTACATTCACTAATTACATTTCCTATACTTTTGTTTTCTACTTCTGTTTTTCTACATTTGTTTCCATTTGGTACTTCATAGATGATTTTATCAGCTATTGAAGCTTTGAATGAGACGAATGGCTCAAACAAGACATCGATATCCAAATACATTGAATCAAAATATGGGCAGTTGCCACCTGGGCACACAACACTGCTGGCTCACCATCTGAACAGAATGAAGGAAACTGGAGAGCTAGTTTTCTGGAAAAACAATTACATGAAACGTGACCCAAATGCACCTCCAAGGCGTGGTCGTGGTAGACCACCAAAGCCAAAGAACCCATTGGCACAGGCCAAAGTTCTGGCTCCGGCCAGGCCTAGGGGCCGCCCACCAAAGGATCCCAATGCTCCTCCAAAGCCGGTGAAGCCTAAGGTAGCAACCGGAAGTGGGAAGCCTAGGGGACGACCACGGAAGATGGCAAAGCCTTCAGGTGGGATAAGTGGAAGCACCACAACAACAGTTACAGCGAAAGCGACAGGAAGAGGTAGAGGCCGGCCCCCAAAGGTGAAACCTCCATTGACCGAAGTGAGTGTTGAACTATAGACCCTTATCTTGCCGGTACTGGTGGTTGTTGCTTACTAGTCTGTTGGTTTTTGCTGTGTTTGTAGAATTGGTGGTGTTGTTAGTCTGTTTATTGTGTTGTAAGTGCAATGTAGAATTGGATGGTGTAGTAGTTGTTCGAGGCTTTTGACAGTCAGTTCATTAGGTTTTGTAGAGGATGATTGATGCTAATGATGATTGGAGTAATCTTGTTGTCTCAAATGTTTTGCACAAGTTTGTTTATGTTTTCGGGTGAAATATTGAATGGCAAAATCATACATGAGAGCTTTGGATTTTCATTTATCAATTTAATCACGTTGTATGTATGAAAAACATTGTGACAGCTTTGAAAATTTGAAATTCTGGTCCAAGTTGAGATCCTCCTTAGATGCCAATTTCACATATTAACTTGTTCTTTTCTTTATTGTTGTGAGTCTTAACTAGAACAGGCAATGCCAAAAAGCTCATAGTTATTGCTTAAAAGAGTTGCTGAATCCAGAGTGTTTGGTTTATGATTTTTGTTTGCAGTGGTTTTAATCAAATGATTGGAGCTGGAGACAAATATGGGAACCTCGTACTGGTTTTGACATGACCAGAAACAATAACCGTAAAAAAATGATAGATTGATGTTTGTGTTAAATGAAATGTACGATTAACAATGCTTAGTTGAAGTGGGGCACTTGGTGGGAGACCCCTCACCCACATCCACTCACTAAAAAGACTAAGATTGGATTTTCATGTCTTTATCACCTTAACTTACCCCTCCCAATGTTTTAAAACCCGGATTGGAGGGCAACTCGCTCTACTGCCCGGGTCACAAGTCAATCAGTTGGACTGGCCGATTGGATCAGTGATGCAGCACTGCTAAAAAAAAAAACCTTTTTTTTTTTTTTTTGTTGAAGAATTTCATATTTTCAACAAGTTAATTACTACCCAACATGATTCAAACTCAATAACAATCCCAACAACATGATTTAATAACAATCCTAACCTGATTTAAGTATTTAACAACAATCCAAAGTTCCAAACATGATGTTGTGTTCATTCATTACAAATTAAATTACAAAATACATAATAATTAAATAAAAAAATATTTGGTGCAAGCGTTTTTTCTTTGACTAGTCTCCATGTTGATTGAGCTTCACACACTAGCATCAGAATTCATTATCATCATCATCATCATCTACATAAATTTCAGTAAATAATAGAAATCATAAGTTAAAACTTGTAATTTACTTTAAAATAAATACTAAGTTGCTTAAATAATAAATATTTGAAACCAACCTTCTGAACCATCTGTTGAATCATAAAAGGAATGGTGATCAGCAACTCTAGCAGAAATAGATCCTTCTCCATATAACATTTGTTCCATTTCCTCATAATTAAGTTCACTGACATCCTCTTCATCGTCAACTATCCAACATTCAGTTTTGTCGATACTTTCACAATCAATAGGATCGAAACTTATTTTCTTGTAACACTTTCTAAAATACCATAATGAAATATTAAAAGCATAACAAGTAAAATATCAAGGAAAATAATAGATAACAACAATAAGAGTGATGCATAATTGACTAATTGAGTAATTGATAATGTTTTATACCTGTTTTGCAAACGCAAGTTATAGTGAACAAAAACGAGATCATTCAACATTTGATGCTCCAATCTATTCCTCTTCTAAGTATGTATGCGCTCAAAAACACTCCAATTTGATTCACATCCCCGAAGAGCTTGAAGTTTGGCTAAGAATTTTTATTGCAAACTTTTGCAAATTTGGAGTACTATACCCAAATGATCTCCACTATTCATCTAATTGAAAATTAAACATAATAACTAAATTAGTCTTAAAAAACAAAAGAACTCATAAATTTTATAACTATTACGTACCAAGATGTGTGGTTTTGGCGGTTTCAAGAGCAAGCCCACAAGAAAAGTTTTCCTCCCGCTTTGAATATAATCTACTCTCTTCCATTAACTTTGTCTTGTTCAAATTGAACGCACTTGCTTTACTGTCAATAGTATCAAGGAAATCACTCATGACTTCTGGCTTGGCGCAAAAAGATGCTTCGTTATATTTAAAGGTAGGATTCAAATAATAAGCCGCAACATAGATATCACGGCGCAACGTCCTCTCCCAGCGTAGCTTAATGATTCTTGTATAAGGCTTGTATAAACTCTTTTTATTCTTAAACAACTTTTTAATTGCATTTTTCGCTCTGTACATGTCATCATATACATATCCTATTGTAGACACCTCATTTGAGTCAACAATCCGCAGCAAGCACATCAATGGACTCACAACTTTGGACACTTTACTCATATCATCCCAAAAATCGTTATCTAGAATTATGCCAATAACATATTTGCCTTTATTATTTTTTGCATATCGAGAATCAACAAATGACTTATCTGTCACCATGGCTTACAAGTTATGTTTGTGCTCATGAAGACTTCTCATTGCAATGAAAGTTGTAGCAAAACGGGTTGCGGCCAGACGAACAATTTCTTTCCAACCCGGTTCAATTGCTAAATAATAGATGTTAGTCAATTATAAAAAATGCATATTATGTTATGACTTGACAAGAACATGAGATAAATGTATATTACCTATCTTTTCCTCAACCAAGCTATCAAGAATGTATGATTATATACAAACTTTGTCACCTCAAAAGCACGTTTCACAAGATAAACTATGTGATCCATCTCAACTATGTCTTTTAACACCAAATTTATGCTATGTGTTGCACTGGGCGACCAAGTAATACTCAGATATTTCTCAGACAACATTCTTCTAGCAGCTTTATAATTGGATCCATTGTCTAAGACAAAATGGACAATACCACTAGGTTCAATCCATAAAGCTATCTCCTCAAACATCTTCAACAATGTCCTAGCATCCTTTACAACATCTGAAGCATCAACTAATTTCACAAAATAAACTGTTTTAGGATAATACACCACAAAATTGATCAATGATCTATGTGAATTATCGGTCCAACCATTAGCCTTTAAGGTACATCCAACATTTTTCCCATGTTTTCATGTAACTGTTAACAAGAAGAAGCACCTCCTTCTTAGCATCTCTCAACAAATTAACACGCAAACCATGATAATTTGGGTGTTTATACCTGGGCCCAATTGCAGCTATAGCATCCACCAAAGGCTAAAGATAAATTGAATTTACAACATTAATTGGGATGCAGGCATCATAAAATAATCTTGCAAAAGTCATGTCTACTCCCCACATCGCTTCTTTTCCAGCTAAACAACTCTTAATTGATGGTTGAGATCCAACAATTGTCCTTGGACCAAAATAGTCACCAACCCTAATAGGTTTTTTTCTTTTTGATGGACGAACCTCTTCACTATCTTCATTTATCTTATCTCCCTCAAATCCATGTACGAAAGCACCATAAGGATTTGTATACTTACTAGAATCAGCTTTCTCTTTATTCTTTGCCCTAATTTCTTTTAGTGTTTCTCTCATCAAGTATTGAATATCAAAGGGAACTTTTAAATAAGCAATGGCATCCCCCTTTATTCCAGCTAGATGTTGTTTAATTCTAAAAATATCTCCTCCTCTAGTTACTTTCCCACAATGAAGACTTGTCAATGTCTTCCTTCCATTTTGATCTTGACCCTCAATAACATGTCCCCATGCTATATCACTCATACCTCTACTAGATTGTGAAGAAGAGTTTTGCCCAGACCTGGATGATGACATTGTCTATTTTTAATCTTTATCAAGCTGTGGCACGTACATAAGCAATAACAATTAACAACAATAATTTAGTATACACCAGCATATTATGGACGCATTTAGGGAGGATCACCAACAATAGACTATCAAAAGAAAACCACAACACCACATGAGAACATATAAAAAGGAAACCATGATAATCAATGCTTTGTTGTTATGACAATAAGTTTTAATGTTTTATACAGTTATAACAACAACATGGCAAGTTGTGTCATATCTATGCTCTCAAACAACTTGTGCTCAATTTAATTAATTCCTAAATCACCAATTACTAGGAAATTGTCACCACCCAAACTAACTTTTATCCAGTTTACCAGTCACAGCTCCCATCAAGAAAACTACTAGAGATACACACATGAGAGCATAATAAATCATATTCCGAAGGCAAGTAGCATGATTATTGAACATAGTTTAAGAATTATGACTAGCTCATTACACTACAACAAAAGGGGCTTTTAGATATGAATTTTTTTGTTGCTAAAAACCTAGAAATTGTTGCGGTATACGTTTAGCGACGAAAGAAAATCGTCACCACGATCGTCGTGGTAGGCATGTCACGCTTAATTTTAGGTGACAATTTGTTAAAATTTGTCGCTAAATCTGGCAACAAACCAAAAAATTGTCACCTATACCATTTTCGTCACTAAAACTAGTTACCGGTGAAATATTAAATGTCGTCGCCTAAAGTTAATAGCGGCATACTCTCTATTGTGTCGCCTACTCTATACCGTGACAAGATGTGTGTTTTTATCGCTTAACATATACCGCGACGAGATGTGTGTTTGTGTCGCTTAACATATACCGCGACGAGATGTGTGTTTGTGTCGCTTAACGTATATCACGACGAAATGTGAATTTTGCTCCCCTACAATATACCGCGACGAAATGTGTATTTTTGTTGCATAAAGTTAATAACAACATTATAATTGTATGCGTCGCTTAAAGTATATAGCGACGAAATGTGACATTTTGTCACCTAACATGTAGTGCGATAAAATATGAATTATTGTTGCCTAAAGTTAATAGCGACGTAATCTCTGTATGTGTCGTTTAAAGTATAACACGACGGTACTTTATATTTCGTCACTTGAAACTATTAGTGATGAAACGTAAAAGCCATCAACAAAACTTTTCAACGTTGAATGTATTTCATAGCTAAAAGTCTACAACGTCGAAATATAATTGTGGTCGCCCATTTTTATTATAATATATATACACACACACATAACATTTAATTTATCTTAGACATTTTAAAATTTAATTCTAAAACGTAAATATCAATTTGTAAATGTAATTAATTCAAATCAGACAAATATATCGAACCAAATATATTATAGAACTATATATGTTTGTTTTTAAATAAAAAGTTAAAAATATATAAAGTTGACTAAATTTTTAATGTTCAACAAAAAGTGACAAATAAAAACTCAAATTGTGGCAGGGGGTCGAGGATCAAGTGGAAATTGGCCCGAAAATATTTGTGAGCCATTAGATCGAGAACCCATATAAATTGAGATGAACTGTTGCATCTTTTCCATCGTTTGCCTATATTGGTGAAATTCTTCCCTTATGCCTCGTAGTTCTTGC